AATAATGGAAGGAAAAGGAACTAAAAACATAAGTAGAAAATAGAAAATGATAGCACACTTCGTACCACCTAAGCCCGAAATTAAACCAGAAAAAATAGAAATATAGTTATTAAAATTTTTGGAGTTAACTTACGCAACATTCCATGGCTCTGGACCAAGGACCCTCAGATATGTCAGGGGATTCATCGTCCCAGCTCCGACCTGAGAAATACAAGAATCTCAAAGATGTATCTCAAAGGCATTATAGAAACAGTGCAACATCATTAAGCAAAGGAAAAGAGGAAACCTTACACCAGCAATTTACAATTAATCTTGCTCTCATTTGAGCAAACAGCAATCAAGGTTCACAAATAAAAGCGCAGGTAAGTTTTTAATAGGACTAGCTATAAACTACCATGTCTGCATATAGATGAACTAGAATTCTGTTGAAATTTCCTAATCCATAACATGCACAAGTGCAAAACCACACAAACAAATGACATACGTAATTTATAAAAGCTTGTCCACTAGATGAAGAATAAAATGCAAGCAGGAGATAGCAATCCACACCCAAAGAACTTGGCCAAATCCTTCATATTTAGGGCATTGCTAGCTTGAATCAATATAATATTCTCAAATTTTAATTACAAACTAGCCATTATTCAATCTAGTAAGAGACGGCATCACAAGAAGCCCAAATTACACTCACGGGATATGTTGAGGATCAAAATATCATCCACTAAAAGTAGATCATAAACAACTATATGAAGTAAGCGGACACAGCCAGCTCGAAAGCCATTTATGGAGTCCATACTTGCTACTTTTTACACCATATTGTTAAAAGACTTCACCACTAAAATAGTATTGGTGAACATAAATCTCCATTACATAAGCCTCAAGAAAAGCAGTAAAAGACCCACTTAATTTGCTAGAGGAACCCAGTTATAGAGTGCGAAGAGAAGCAAATGCTCTCAACAAGGGGGGAAAAAAATTAAAAATCAAAGGAACTTCCACCACTCAAGCCATTGGGATATCTTGCAATATAAGAAGCTCATTGATATTTCCATGTCCATTGAACAAGTCCATCTCAAGTCCCTTATTCAAACACTTATGTTCACCAAACAACTCCATCTCCTGTAATGTAATACACCAAAGACGGACATGAAGCCTACTAAAATCCTGTAGCCAACATCTCATAACCCATAAAAATACCCACTAGTAACTTAATATCTCGTTGCTTGGCAAACCCATAGTAAATTACGAGAAATCCCAAGAAAAATATTAAGAGTCATTCTAATTTCAGGCTATTTATGGCCCACCACTTCTCATTTTCCTTATATAATGCTTTAACAGCAACAACCAACCCAATGTGGTAGTGTTGATCCAAATGTATTGCACACAGCTTTAACTCATCCAAACATGTGTAGAGATCATTTAGAAAGTGGAGTAAATGATGTTAATGAAAATTACTCGATATACCAAAGGCTAAGGGTATCCACTTTTAACACACACACAAAAAGGAGGGGGGAAGAGGAAGAGGAAAAGAAACAAAGAGGCGAATCAGGAGAAATTGCAAGGGTTGAAAGATCACCCACCTTGGGGGATGGGGCAAGGGTCAACCACATGAATAGTATACATGTTAAGAGTTTCCTTAGTATAGTAATGTGAAGGTAAGACATGGACATAAAAGTTGGTGCAACCAAGTCACGTGCTAGTGAAGAGCCAACAAGCACCCCTAGACCCAGTATGAACCGCCACCTCAAACAGGAAAATTTAGCATAGCTCGCTCAATCAATAACACTTTGTATTTTAAACATAATAAATAATAAGCAACAGATCTACATTGACAATATCACTCCTCGTGCAGCACCTGAACATCAAAGGTAAAGCTACTAGCAACATAATCTGGAATGTAAACCGCATGTTGGTGGTGGTGAATTAAGTATACAAATGCTGCACTGACTTGCCCAAATAAAATAAAGCTTTCATAAGCTACAAACCTTTAAAAATAAAAGTACCATAGAATGTATAATTGTTTATTACTTTATTTCTATATACAATTTGAAAGTAGCATGTCTATCAAACTTTATAAAATTCATCACAGGGAGAACAAGTTACATCGATCGTGAATCCATATCAAGTGGGACACCCAAACAATAGGTATTAAACAAAGAAGGTGCAAACCGCAGAAGGAATCTGCTTTTGTACAACAAATTAAGATCACCTCAGTGTTGCTGCATTGCATAACTGCACACCCTACAGAGGCCCAATACTCCTGCAGATACCCAAAAAACAAAAAGATATGAGACGATTACCGGTCAATCGGTCATATATGAACAGAATTCAATGTCCAATCCGGACGGAGCAACATACAGTTATACACCCTATGATCAGATCATTATTTGTTTTATATAACTACTTAACCCCAAAAGATAAAAGCACAAACGCTAATTTTGATGTCAAACCCATGGGATGAGGTGTATTAAGACTTTTGGTACGATAATGCTTAGAAGAAGACTTAAATGTTAAACTACTACAGTTATTCAAGGAGATGAAATACTCAATAGAATGGGACACAATACTGTCTCTAGATAACAGCTAGAACTGAAGCAGTTGCCATTGTTCAACTATAATTTGGACAAGAGAAAAAATTGCATAGTTATTTCTCAATTCTCACTTTCAATTGTTTGATTAAGTAAAATGCATAAGTAAAATGCATATGTATCCCATATCGAATTCAATGTCATCTCTTGGGTACCAAAAACCATTACTTGCATACTAGTAAACTACTCCCCCTCCATATCAAATGAGCTTCTTGTTTGACTTTCATACTCTTTTAAACATAATATCATTAAATTAATGAATTGAATATCATACATTGCAATAAATCTAGCAAGAACTAAGTCATAAAATTAAGAAAAATACATAATGGCAAGAATTAAAGGTCTAAGATACCAAATTTGATCCAAAAGTCAAAGGGAAGAGAATTTGATATAAACCTGAAGACGCTGAATAGCTTGTTGGAAAGTGGGCACAGAGGCAGTACAAGGAGCTGAACTGGGGTCACCATTGTCGGAAAAATTATGCTGCAAAGTGGAAGCGGCGGAACTTGACGACGCAAAAAAGCGACGATTATGGGGCTTAAAGCAAAAATGGCGAGTTGGGTGAAGAATGAAAGAGAAATTCTGGGGTTTATAGTTATGGGGTTTAAGGACTGAGATTACTAATGGGAGTGTGAGGATCCCCATTTGTTACTTGTAATTTGTTTGAGGAATTTACAGTAAATGAAAGAGATTAGTTGAGATTAAGATTTGATTTTTCTGTTAATGGGTATGATTTTCCGCCATTGAAATAGAGTTTGAGTTCTTTGAAGGTTTTTAATTGTGGATAAAAGTCTGGGTTTTGGCTAGTTTTGGGTTTTAGGGAAGGAGAGAAAGAGAGATAACGAGGGAGAGGTGTGAAAAGGGTGTACCACGTTTTGGAATGGCTCGGGTTGCATAGTGCCCCATATCCATCCGGATTCCGGATGATATGTAACATGTGTTAATATTCGCTTGTCCGGTTGTTCCATTGGCCGGATTACCTCGAGTTTGTGGGTTCCAATAGTTTGAGCAGGAAGAGTGTGTTCTAATTTACTGAACTGATTGTGGTTGAATTTAAGCTGAACAGAACAGACTCTTCGAGTCCAAAGCAAAGAAAATTAATCCGGTATATCAATCGAAAAATATATACTTTTTTTTTATCTTCAATCTAATTCAAAACCCTTAAAAAAAACTCAATCTTAAGGGGAAAATACAAGTTGATAAAGGTGAGAAACAAAATAGATTTATTAGCCGTGTTAAATGAAAATTCAAGGGTTGATCGATTTTTGGGTCAAAGGACATTAGGGTGAAGTTAGATTTCCACTATAGGGTCTGAACACGTTAAGAATGTACAACAAGGTTCGAGAACGGTATGAAAGGTTCTAAAAAATTCTAGGAACTCTTGTACATATCCGCAGGCTAGATTTGCGAAAAACTCTTCGTATTAGGAAATCTCTAGAATGGAACACTCTAGGCCTGTACTTGGGAGCCCTATAAATAGAGAGCCCCCTCATTTGTAAACCATCCAAGCAAACTTGTAAACCCCCTCTCTTTCAAGCAATACACAATACTCTTATTACCCTTACTCACTTATGCATCCATCTTTGTTTTACTTTCGTTGATGTTAATAGGCTCACGTGCAAAAGACTAGATGAGTTAGTAATCACGTGCAACATGACGTATAAAATCGTTACTTCAACTTATTATTTGAAAGCTAATAAGCAAAATATTAATCGAGACTGAATTTTTTCGAAGACAATTTTTAGCTGAAAAATTATTCCTAAATTCGCAAAAATGATTCATTTTCTCAGTATATATATTAGAAAAATAAGATATTATTTTTTAAAAAAATTTCATATAATCAAAAAAAATAAAAATAACAAAATATCAATTTCTTTTTCTTTCTAAAATAATGAGAAGAAAAAAAAATAGAATTTATTTGCATAATCAACGGATATTAAATTTTGTAAACAAATTACTCCAATCTAGGTAATTAGTTACAAATTACTTTTCTAACACTACACTTGGCTAACAAACAACACATTTGAATTGCTTGATTGCACGTATGACAATAGTATGAGGAACTCATCCTAAACAATAACTTCCTTATTACATGTGAAATTAGACTAACTAGCTATATAACAACAATAGATTGATATATTTCATGAATCATCCACCATTAAATTTTTAATTTATTTAGTTTTTCTTTATCTTGTGAGGTTTTATTGTGCATAAACTTATAAGAAAAATTATTTTTACTTAATTTAGCTTTCTTGCTGTATTAATTTTTTTTTGCTCTCTGTTTTTGCTACCTTTTACTTTCTTTCATTAATTCACCTGGTTCATTTATGTAGTGTACCGCACACGTAATTTTTCCATGAATATATACAATTTAGAAAACGCGCAATGCCAATAAAAACTTATTACCTATACACAAAATGCAAAATTTGGCTGCCAATTTAAATTCAGGATTAATATGATTCAACAATAGATGATACAGTTACAATCTAAAACTACCAATCCGCATATGAAATATACTCTGCTATTAATAATGTCCAACTTTTAGTTTTGCCAGTAATCTAAATGGCCAACAAAGACAACAATGCACCCGGAACAAATTGCAGAAGTGGTTATCATTCCACATTTCCACCTCAAAAAATGGCCTGTCAAAGAGACATATGCCTCTGGGAAGAAGAGACAAGTATAAGCAATGAAATCCATCATCTTCTATGATCCTGCCACCACAATCTTCTTTACTTGTTTAACTCTCTTAAAATCTAGGGGATAGTAATTTTTTTCTACTTCCCAAGCAATTTGAGACATCCCATTGAATGTTGATTTCACACCCTTCTCATCAGTCACTTCCCTAGGGAATGGAATCCGAATCTCATACATTCCACTTGGAGGTGAATACAGACGCATGTCGAAACCCAACCTATCAACCCACACCATTTTTGCCTCTGATACCTGCAGAAAAGCAATTATAATCAAGCCAACACGACACAAAACTTAAATCCATTACTGAGTGACGACAAAGGTACTTTTATCCCTCTAATCATGTTCACTCCATCGTTTCAAGAGAAGTTATTAAGAGCTACAATGATAAACACAAATTTTTGTATACCAAAATCATCTACAGAAAAATTCAGCTGATACTGATATATCCTATCCCTCTATCATTTTACACAAACACTTGACACATACCTTGATATAACAGACAGCTAGAGAGACCGAACGATAGCAATCAGGTTGAGTTGAGATTTACATGAGCACAAGCATAAAAGCTGTCATCGAAGCATATAAGAAAAGTATAAAACACCACTAGGCACAGTTAAAATTGGGTGGAGAAATCTTCTTTCATTGGCCAAGGTAATTAAGATTTAAGCATGAAAAAGATTATAAGATAGGCATCTCCCCAATCACACAGATTCCATGTCCTCATTTCCCTATCAGATATATGAAGATTCAAGACCGATCACAAGGCTCTACACAGAATTGACAGATATACCATTCCGATAGACAATTGTGTATCCCATAGCTTTTACCTCTGCTCCGTCACTATTCACACTGTACAGTGTACACAGTACCAAAGGTCAAAACTGATAAGATTCCTGTTACATCAATCATTTTTAACCAACAAAAGCGAATCTCAGTCCTCGCTCCTCTTAAGACAAATCAAAACCTAAGGAGACAACAGTTGCACACAGACCATGAGATCAATAAACTCTTGAAAAGGGAATAGCTTATTGAGGACTTTTTATCAATAGTCTAATGACAACAACCTATCTATGTATGTATTGGATACAGCTACATCTGATACCTCCACTTATGCATCCAATAAAGAAGCCTCATTGGAGGCATACGATTAAAGATTGAGGATTGTGGACAGCAGCCAACTTTCAAGACCTCATGGAAGATACTTGGGACTTGGTAGAACTCAAGCACGGTATACAAAGTTACAAATTATACACAAGCTTTTGTTGTTGGGATACTTTTGTTATAGGCAGCAGAACTCAAGTACTTTTAAAGCATAATTCAAAAGACTTAAACAATAAATAGAAACAAATTGAATTTTCATGCAAAGGCAAAAGAACCAATCTCCTTGCAATTACACAGATATAATCGCAAAAATCTAGCATCTATGTGCCCAAGTAACCAACTAAGATATGTAAACCAATTATGAGTTCAAATGGTGTACTTCACTTCACTTGTAAACTTCTCACCTCTTAAAGAATGTCAGGGCCACGTTAAAACATAACTATAGAATGGGAGAGAAGATATTTAAATGGAATGGGAGAGAAGATATTTAAAACATAACTATAGAATGGGAGAGAAGATATTTAAAAGATACTAGGATGGCCTAATAAAGAATAGCTTGGAATTTTTTTGACATACCAAGTAAATCACATAAAGAAGTCACCAGAGGCCATAGCATGAAATGGCTTGGGAAATATGTGCAAGTAAATGAAATGGTCAGATGAAAAACACTCTCCACTGAGAAGTAAGAACCTTGACACATGATTGCCATCTCACCCCTTTGACAAGAAATAAGCTTCTTGATATGTTAAAATTTGACTTAGACAAGGGATTTTTTAAATCACTATGGTTAGTCACCGAACAAGCTATTTGTTTGGGTGAGTAACACAGTATAAAAGTTCTTCGGAACTGAATAATTGCACATTAAAGACAAGTTTTGTATTTTCCTAGGACCACCATTCCACTTCTTTCACAATTTGGGAAGAGAGGGTTGGTTCACTTCACATGAAAACAAATTTTGCAATGCAAATTATGTGATTCTCTCAAGGATCCAGCTTACGGAATAGGAAGATACCTGGAATTGCAAATCTGCATAAATGCTGCAAAAGCGAAGCACATCTTCCATGTTGTTTGCATTGATCTCAGTCACAACCTTTTCTGCAATATCTCTTAGAGGATCTGGGTATGCATTTTTATAATCAGAAGATGTAACCCAAACACCATCCTGCAAATATAATGAGCAAAGGTTATGCATCTTAAAAATTCACATATGATGACATGAAATTCTCCATACCAAACTCCTCTTGGCGCTTACTATACAGTGTTTACAGTCCCAAGGAAATTAAGATACAAAGGTACAACCAACAATAATATGACCCACCACACCTCCTGAAAATCTTCTAGCTGCAGTATGCGGTCCACAGAGACAACATACAATAGGTCTTCATTAATCTCTTCCCCAAATCTCTTTTTCCACACTGAATGAAGCTTCTGCAGGATCAAACATAGCAAGTTATAGGTGTCTCCTTCAATTTAACAGTGAAACGGAAGAGGTTTGGCAAAAATTATAATTTACCTTTACTGTCGTTTTGTCATCAGGTTTATCCAAGCTACCTTGTATAGTACACTGTGGTGTCCTCAATCCACATTGCGGTAGCTGCATACATACGAGAACTCATCATCCACTCATCCTCTGATTACCAAGTCACTAATACAGAAACATATAACCACACTTCATAAAGTCCCGGCACCAAAATTAACTTTTGGATTCCATCATTTGCAAGTCAATCAGCAGTACACATCAAATTGCAGTCCTAAACTCCAAATTCAACCAACACAGCAAACCTCGCGGTGATTCCAATCTTCTATTTATCCTATTAAAAACTTATCACCTTCAACTAACTACCATTAAACCATAAAATCTCTAACAAAAACAACGAAAACCCGCCTCGATTCAGGTTGTTGATCATGTAATTCTGAGTACTAATATCAAATTTTATAAAACCAATTAATTTACAGAACTATCACTTTTGCTAATCAGATACACATTTGGATAAATAGAAACAAAATCATGAACCAACCAATCTAAATTCAGCTAATAATCATCTCACGCTGCAAACCCACAATTCAAAATTGAACAAGAACAAAAAAAACACCAGAATCTGAAGAATTAAACACAAACCTGAACATGAAGAGTAGACCTTTTATCAATAGAAAAATGTCGATTAGAGAGATTAGTGCACAAAATAGGGGTACCATCAGAATCAACTGTTAAACGAACACCAATACCAAGAGGCCAACCATCATGGGTCAAAGTAGAAAGAGTCCCAGATGAAGATAACTCCATTATAGTCCTTGAAACTTCAGCTGGGTAAGGTTTGATTTGGGTGGCTGTTGTTGATGATGATGATGATGGGTCTGAAGCTACTGAAATGGAGGAGCATTTTAGGGGGGATTTGCGAGATTTAGGAGAGAGAAAATTGAGGGGTTTTGAAGATGATTTGAGTTTCTGGGTTGGGAGATAATTTGAAGGGATAATGTGGGAAGAAAGAGATTGAGTTTGCAGTATCATTTTTGCAGAAATTGAAGATTACTGGTTAAGAAGGTTGAACAATGGTTTTGTTCAAAACTAGATTTTGGATGTGATGAATTGATGATGATGATTTTTTCGAGCCCTTGACATATCCCTGTATTTTCCGGGATCACTCCAAAATGTGCGCATCTTAGCTTATTATCGTTACTTTGTTGTAGTCTTGTAAGGACAAGAGATTTTCTCAAACGGAATTAATGTAGACGAGATTATGAATTTCGTTGATACGGAGTACAAAATCACGGAGTACTCGTATTTAGAGAGAATCGTTTTATTCATTTGGAAAGATTAATAGGGTAACAATATACTCGTAGTAAATAATTGATTGCTAATCTTGGATACCAACTTCGATACTTAATTTATCAATACGAGCAATACAAAGAAGTTGCTTTGACAATATAACAATACTTGAGTTCAACTGAAATCGCTATGAGTAGTAATTTGTGTTGATATATTCTTAGAGCATTTTTAAATTAGAAATGGCATGTATTGTTATTAACCAAAGTCATGTGTACCATGTAGTACTCCACTAGTTTCAAAATATTTGTAATAAAACCTTTTGGTACGCGTTTTATGTAAGATACTTGTACTCCGTATTAGAGAAGATAAATGGACAGAATTATCCAAAAACACTTTTACACGGACAAGAGGATGGATTGAGTAAAGATTTTAACTATTGTGTAACGCTTAAAAGTTGTTCATCAATTAACCCTTCACTAGTTACTTCTTTAAAATGTGTCACGTCTCACGAGGGTGTGTTACAAACTTGCAAGTAAATAGTAGAATTTAAACATATATATATATATATATATATATATATATATATATATATATAAACTCTGTATTAATGTATTATGTTGACTTTTTCGTATGGTATTACAAAATACTGTATATTTTTATGATTATATTGTTCACTGGTCCCCAATCCGGATTAGCCCTAAGGGTGAACCGGATGGAACACCCAAAAAAAAAAAAAAAAAAAAAAAAAGGAGGACTTAGGTTATGCAGTTGCTGAAATGCCTAGGCAAACGCTTTATATGATTGGTAAGCAAATTATTTTCAAAAATGTTATCAACAATAAGTCATGAATTTCAAAGCTGAAAATTTTAATGAGGGTTATTAAAATACATATACTACGTACATTATATTGAGGTTAATTATGAAGTGTGGACCTCCATATTTCTTAACCAAATTGTGCTGAAATACATTTAGCACAGGAAATTAATTTGCTGATATGTTTATACTTTGGTATCACTACATCAGGACTTCAGGAGGACACCATCCAGGGGCGGCAGAGAAGATTGCTATTCATTTGCTTTGAAGCAAAAATCTGGTATGACATAGACATTGTATATGCTTTGCAGTAATCATGAGTATTCAGGGCAACATAGAGTCAACGGCAAAGATAGGAAGCCTGCCTCAGAATGCAGGCAATCAGGGTGGCCAAGAACAAGGGTGATCATTCGCTTTGGAGAAAAAGTACAGGACAGTTATAATATACAGTAATCAAGAGTCATATATACCAAAACAGATAACTGAGGTGGCTATTAGTCGAGTTACTTGCACAATAACCTGCAAACGGGATCATATAGAAGCAGACACATCAAAATGCCACAACTAGTTTATCTAACAGTAAGCAGAGAGTAATAAGCTGTATGTAGAGTTGTAGACTTGAGCAATCCATAGGAGAAAAGCACCTACAAGATGTACTTTTTCACTGTACTTTGAAGAAATTGGAGAAGAGGCAGAAACATTGAGATGACAGCGAGGGAAAGGCTTCAACTTCTATACAGATGCCAATTGGTTTCCTATGTGAGTACAAGAGGATCAATGAAGTATATTAAGAAATTAATGGTGCTACTGGTTTCATTATGATTTATGGGTAAAAAGGATAAAGACGACCCCAAAATTACAATTTCATTTCGTTTCACCAATAAACATGACCCCCTTCTGCCCCACTTAAATTCTGCCCCGCCCTGACCTGACCCTTTTAAGATCCCAACCCTGAAATAGATAAACCGGGCCTGACCCTGTTACATATGAGCCGGAATAGGGTCATAACTAGGGTCCTGCCCCACTAAAAAGGTCTAAGGCACAAGGCATGTACTAGTATTATGCTCTAGAATGCCCCCAAACACGAGGACTCCAACTACCCAATTGCAGGAGATAAAACATAGAAACATATCCCACAATCTGCAGCCTATTAAAACTTGTAAGGGCACTAGTCAGGTAGCCCCTGCCAGTAGAGAAAACACGTCCTGAGCTCCTGAGCTATGATATAAATAGGTAGGTGTCCTTAATATGCTACAGTTTCAGTCATAACAACCTTATAAGATAGTTTTTTTCACACATACTTCATAAGATAGTTTGATATGCTCTCCAGATAGAATACCTACATGCCAACGACAAGAAATTAAATGTTGGTGCGTAAGGGGCTGTCAAAAGTTCAACATATTTGACAAATCGAAAGAATCATCTGTTTGTGAAAGACCAAATTGTAACACTCATATTTCACCCTACTAGAACAACAAAGCTCTCTTCAATGGCACAAATGGATGCCAAACAAAGGTGAGCTTATAACCTTTTCTTATTTTTCCGTAGTGTATAACATCAGTTTTTGCTCAGTATTAAGCAACATTTTCACAATATTTTCAACATCACACAAAGGCTACATACATGACACTTAAAATACAATGAAAAACTCATTGCAAAGAGCTTTCGAAAACACAATGAACATCAATCATCACTTGAATGATTTACATAATCAGAATATTTGCAACTTGAGCATATTATGAAAGCTTAAGAAGCTATAAACCTGATCATTATTGAAAAGGCTATCAAAGAAACATAAACTTTGCAGAACCTCTGTTTATAACATACCAAACAAGGCAAAAACATCAGGCTCCAATATTAAACAACTACATTGTACATTAGGCAAATTTTTCCTGGCCAAATTTATAGATTTCATTCAAACAACCAAGATGCAGTAAACAAAAATAGCAGTACAGCAATACCTCCATTAACTCGATCAAAGTCGAAAAAAATTATCTAATTTTAAAAGACTACCTTCTGTCATTGCAATCAACTAATTCATCCTCATTCCATGATCACTTTAGCTCCAACAGCTTTCATCTTCTCAATAATCTGCTCAGCTTCCTCCTTAGGCACACCCTTCTTAAAAATCGACGGCGTCTTCTCCACTAAGTCTTTAGCTTCCTTCAATCCAAATTCAGTAAATGCCCTAATCTCCTTAATAACCTTAATCTTCGAAGCCGCTTCGAATGATTCCAATTTCAATTCAAACACAGACTTCTCTTCCTTCTTCTCCTCCTGAGCATCCCCACCAGGCGAACTCGCCGCCATTTGAGCTAACCCAGCAGCAGCCCCAGGATTCAACACCCCAATAACAGGAACTTCATCTTCTTTCATTCCCATTTTCTTCATCAAAATTGTCCCTAATTCAGCTGCTTCTACCAATGTGAGAGATGAAACCTCATCAACTAGCCTAAAAACACGATCACTCGGTGGGCTACGGTGGGATGTTGGATCAAATTTTGATGGGTCATAATCTGCTGGGAGTTTTCTGGGATCAATTTCAACTTCTTCAAATTCCTCTTCTTGTAATGCAGGTTGAGCATAAGTGCGATAAACCCAGGTAGAATTAAGGGTTTTTGAAGAAATTAGGGATGAAATGTAGGGTTTTGGAATTAACCCAGTTGGGATTTGTTGCCTTAATCTCAAAAATAAACTCATTTTATGATATCAAATTGTAAGATCTGAAGAACCCTAATCCCTAATTTGAGATTGAGGAGAGAGAGAAAATCGGTCGGAAGTATGAAAATTAGAGGGTTTGCAACATTGATTTGAAGAAATGGGTACTGGTAATTTCTAGCAGAGTGACAAAGTTGGTGAAAGTTCACAAAATAAAATGGGGGTTTGAAGAAGACGATGCCCTAAACCCTCCAAATTTTTTGCTGGATTTTCATGAAGCTTTGATATGTCCCTTTTTTTTTTTTACAACATTTTTTTGTATAATGGTAAATAATAAAATCATAAAATGCTTAATGCCTGTTAATAATTGAGAGTGTTTTTTTTTTTTTTTTTTCTAATTTTTTTTCTAATGTTTTTTTTTCTTAAAAAAAAAATCAAGAATCCTTCCCTACATGGGTTAGTCCTAATGTATCAGAAAAAAGAATAAAAATAAAATAGAAGAATTACAAACATAAGATCCATACTTAACTCAAAAAAAAAAAAAAAAAATAAATAAAATAAATCACATCACTCCATTAGATATCCAATCTGTTACGTGATTTATCTCTTTGTAGACGTGCTGAATACTCCAATTGTGCAACCGAGAAAGGAAAGAACGAGTGTCTTGGTAACATGTGTAATTTGCCAAGGTAATTCCCAAATGTCTTTTATTGAGTTGATGACTAATCGGTTATCACCTTCGATATCAATGAGTGCCACATTGAAGAGCTAGTTGGACACCTTAATGAAGAGCAATAGATTCCGCTATAATTATTTTGGCGTTCCGAGGTTAAACATAGATGCTTGATGAATGCTCTACTCCTATCTCTAGTGATAAGTTTGAAGAAGTTGCTAGGAGGGGTCTTCTATGATATAAGAATGGATGATAGAAAGTATTGACTATGAGAAGAATGATTATGAGATCTCGAAATGGGAGAACCCTTAGAGTAAAAGGTATTTATGAGACTTTTTTGGTGCCATTCATTGAACGCAAATTGCGCTCAGTAGTAAATTCTAAAGATGTCTAAGGTTTCATTACGGAAGATAATAGCATTCCACTCTTTTTAATATACATATTTCATATTTTGGTCAATTTTAGAAACGAGGTTGAGCCATCCAACAATTTTTTTGATAAGGGAATGTTTCAAATTTCCTTGGTTCTAATGCAACTGAGAGCCTGAGAAAGATGATCAATTGTTTCATTTTGCAAATTGCATAAAAGACGAATGTTGAACGGGATTATGTTTCTTTTGTGAAGAGTGTCTCAAACACCTAACTTCAAGTTTGAGATTATGAGCGAGTTAATTGCCTCACTTAACTGAGAAGTTTCCATGTGTAATGAGCCCCACAAAAGGGGTGTCCATCTCATTGAGAGGTAGTGGAATGCCCATAACTTGGGCTGTGATGTCAAGGAAGAAGAGCCCTTAATTTTTGTCTATCCCAAAGTATTTTTTCCAATAAAGTTTACAAGATTGATGCTTCAAATGCAACCTGGCTCAATCAAGCTTCCAAAATAAAATGAAAGATCCAAGCAACGAAAAATAGTAAGCATGAACGTTTGTCGATAATATGAAACTGACAGAATTGCATATCAATCAAGCATGAATCACTGGAGAGAGCCATACATGAAGGTTGGATGCTACATTGGGTTACAACTTACAACACTTGCAAGGCACAAGAAGCAACAAAATTGATGCCTTTTGCAAGGGTGTAACTGTGTTAGTAGGTTTCCTTTGTATAATACAATATAAACTTGATATTGACACTCTTCATTCAACCCATATTCATCACAACAACCTTCATACAACTCTGAGATGGTCAGCATGCTCAAGGGTACGAAGAAACGGATAAAAAGCTGCAGTTTCTACAGGTGGATTTTATCTGGAAGCAGCAACAATTTTTTGCCATCAGAGTATCCAGAATTGCTGACATCTAGCTACCATCTCCATTAGACACAGAATAATCTTTCACCATTAAGATTTCACCACAAAGCTTCTTGGGTATTTGTTCCAATGCTAGGCCCTCCTGCCATACCTGTCCAACCTTAACCCCAGGTCCAAGATGACGGACATATATGACAACCTGATCATTGAAGGGCCATGGATGTTTGGCTGCAAATAGAAAGAACCTCAAAGGCTAAAACTGAGGATTGATTATTCAACATGAAATACTCAGAAGATAAACCATGCATTGAGCAGTAAAAGAGATTATATCTGTTAAACACATGAATACATGATCTGATGATCACCAACTGCTTTGCTACAGAACTACACAATATGGCACAGTGGCACTACAAAATTTTTTGAAACACCACCATTAAGAAACAAAGTTGGACCCAGAATCCCAGATATAAGAAGAATAGAGAAAATAGGTTAATGCAAGTTTGCTTAGAGTGACAAGAATCAATTCATGCTAGTCATGCAGGTCACTTGAAAAGCTTATGCAATGAAAGAATGGAGAGACGGTAGAATAGAAAATGCAATACAAACAAATAGATATCCAACTATAAAAAGTATGTTGATATTGCCACACAAATAGAAAATAAAGTAGCACTAACATCCAAATTGAAGTTACATAATTAGTGGAATATCAATGCATGTTTGCATGAGAATTAGTAATCTCACCTGGCATTGGGAAACCTTCTGGATAATCATTGAGATTTAACAATCCATCTCCAAACTCATAAGCTAAATCACATGGCTGTTCAGTAGGCATTACTTCATTAACTTCTTTTACAGTAAAATACAGTGGACTGGAAGATGTTGCCATTCGAGCCAGTAGCGACACACCTGCATTTGCACTTGCACTTAAATTATTTAAAAAAACAGCATATACACCAGACTGCAATGGAAACCTAAAGTGTACATTAGCAATGATTAAGAATCATACGATTGCTGACTACAGGGCCTTATTCACTGAAAACTAAGGAATTGGCTGGAAACAGGAGCACAATAAACCAATCAGATTATGAATCGGTTGTGGTAGATGCAAATATGGGCCCTGGTGCGAAGGCAATGATGTAAGATTGAAGAAGCACATCTCAAGTCTTACTCTAGTTTTACAATCATTGAATCTTAAACTTACCTATCTGTAGACAGTTGTAGCATGCAAAAAGATTTGTCCAGCATAAATGTTAGTGGCAAAAGCACCGGCTTCATCTATGTTAACATTTATCCCTAGATGAAACTAAATTTGTCTGGGATAGTTGTTTAATAGCAATAGAATTCGTCTTAGCCTCTTAAACTGGTCAATACAGAAATCTTAAAGCTTCTTCCTAAATTTAGGTAGATAATGCAGATACCACAACCATATAACATGGTTTAGCCGTTTAGCACATCTTATTTTTTTCATTGTCATAGCTTTATGACTTTCCTACTTCAAGTATTATAGGAAAGTAATTGAGTTGGAATTACTGATATATAGACAAAAGTCAAACAGTAGATATTAGTCCTGTTTGATCAGAAAACTGTAATTGAAATCTAGAACAGGGGAAGTGGCTATTTCCATTTTCCCAAACTATGTCCCTAGTCCGCAAATAAAAAAGAATACAAGGAATGGGCAGATAGAAATAAGCCAGGTAGAAATTATAACTTCGGTGTATTTTTTCTTTAGTTAGGGATTCAAAATATTCTCAATTAAAGTGCAGCTCAAGCCGATTATGTTGGACTGCTTTCACTAACATTTAGAAAGCAAATTATTCCTTTGTAATACTGAAGATTTTGCAAGCAGAATGAGAATGATCTTCCACAATCAAGGTAAGAAATTCTTACCAATAAGTCTTCCATATATGTTTCCATCTTTACGAAATAATGCCTAGCATAGCAGAACAATGCATAATTCTGGAATCAGAATTCAACAATGTACAAAGCTCCAAACAAGAAAGGGAGATAGAAAGTGCGTAGACTGATTAGAGAACTCACCATCTGCAAATATTTGATTAATCCAAGAGGCATTGGACCTATTATTTGTTGTTTGAAAAGCAGTCAAAAATTTCTCCCAAGTCACAATAAGAATCAAGATAACACTCAGCACATTAAAAAAAGCTAAAGCCAGATAGAAACCTCCACTTTTACGGCAATTCCAGAATTCAAGTGACAATGCATCATTTTCACCAGACAACAAATTAGAAGAGCTCATCTTAGCTAACTTCGCATCATTGTAGCGCCCTCCAGCAACCTCCCAAGCAGCTAATATAAGCCTGCATTATTCCATACAATTGTCAACAAGAGCAGAAGACATAGAAAACTACATATGAAGCAAGATATAATCAAAATGCAACTATGCAAGAGGTGTTCAAGTATAGCTCCTCAAAATGCTTCCACAAACACAAATCAAATTAGAGACCAACAAAACAAAAAGTGGCAACAAAATTAGAGATCGAAACAAGGCAATCGAGTCAAACCTAGGATTCAGGAGGTATAGTAAACGATGCCGTCTTTCTTCCGGGATTTCCGAAATCTTCTTCCTAGTAATAAAGAAACATTAAAAAACATAAAAGACTTAATATAATACTATATGCATATTAAAACCCATCATCAAACCATAGTTTTCAAACAAAATTAGTCATTCCCAACTGCACTACACTACTGCACTTCAATCATAACAAATCATCCAATTAAAATAATTAATCTTGTCAAACTATTTACTTAAACTGAACAGTCAAGAAGAAAAACAACCAAATAATGCAAATGATACCTCACAAATTCACAATTACAACAAACAAAAAAGGGATTAAATTTAGCAAATACAATTACATTATATAGGATACAATTAAGGAAATTACCAGAGATATGAAGCAGGATTGTAAGAAGAAGGGTCTAAAGGAATGAGTTCTTTAGGAGGGTCAAGAAATGTGACAATATCTTGTTCATCCAAATACACCCTTTTACCATCAGGCAGTATTTCAGAGGGTTTTTCATCCCAAGATGTCGTATTGAATGCCTTTGCCCCATTTACTGCCTTAATTTTTGCTTCAAATTTGTGTTTTTTGAACAACGGAAACTTCCGAACTGATTAATCACAGCAGAATTAGCAAATTACCCAGACATTCAATTGTAGAGTGAGAGAGTTAAGATGATACCTTTAGGGAAGAACTGAAGTGGGTAGTTGATGAATTGGCGGGAATTTGAAGAGGAGCCATTGAAAAGTGCTGGGTTGAGGAAGTGGCAGTTGCAGGTTGAGGAAGAAGGTGAAAAAGTTGCTGCCATTTTTGGGGGTTTAATTTTGGTGGGGTTTAAGGAGGTTTAAGATTAGGAATAGGATGAATCATGTATGTGTTTGGGTTACAAGGTGGAGTTGGCTCAGTTTAGCAACATTGGCTCGACTTGAATCATCCAAGTAATCCGATAATTAAAAGTTTTGGAACTACAATATAGCTTTGTCATCTCTATAGATTGACTAAGGGTATGTTCACTTCAACTTAATTTCAGCTCAGTTCAGCTCTAATCAATTCAATTCAGTTTAGCTCCAATCAGTTCAATTCAGTTCAGTTCTGTTCAGCCCCCAATTTCCTTCTTTCATAAAATATTCATTTCAGCTCAGTTTAGTTTTGTTCAGTTTCATTCAGTTCAGTTCATTTCAATAAATGTGAATAGTACCTAAACAATTAAAGTAAAAATCTATAATGTTGTACAAGTTAGACCAAAATTGATCTATGTATGTTGTATATTTGTACGGAGTAATAAATTAATACAAGTGATGGTCCAATTTGACTTATTCACTTAAAGCTAAATAGAATGACTCGTTAGATGTCATCTATTATCTTAGTGCGAATTGAATCAGATTGACAAGAACTAATCTTGATATGGAACATCAAATGGCCTATTTGTCATAAGATAAAATGTAAGTTTAAAATTTAATAACTTAAAATTAGTTCAAGTTTTTCTAGAAAATAGTCAAATAAGATAAATTAAGATAAATCAATATTAACGAAATATTATTAACCCAATCTAAACAACTCGATTATAAACAAACCTTCCACATATCTCATAACCAAGACTAGATTCAATTATTCTACAACTATTGAAAATTATTCCTATCAGGCTATCCTGGACTTCCCCAAATAACCTCACTTTATTCTCACTTTCTATAAACTCTTCCAACACCATTAATGCCTCATTTTCCCTTCTTTTAAACTCTTGTCAAACAAACACACAAAAAACAGTCTTTTTAGTCAACTGTTCTCTCTCTCCTCTAATACTTCTCCGGCGCCGGAAAATATGTCGGCGGTAGATGGGTTCCGACCACTTAATGAAACATCATTGGTTGAGTATATAAAAGCAACCCCTTCTCTGTCTTCAATACTTGGTGATTCCGACAACTTTCAGATCAAAGAAGTTGGAGATGGTAACCTTAATTTTGTCTACATCGTTGTCTCCCCTTCTGGTTCTGTTGTCATCAAACAGGTAAAAATGATTAATTTTTATTACTTTTGTTTACTGTAGATTATAAAGTTTTGAACTTTATTGTTGGAATAATTGTTTGTTGTAATGGGTGAATGTTTTTTGTTAGGATTATTTAGTATTGTTCTGTAATTTTACGACATTTGATGATTACATGAATTTAATTGCATAAATAGAAGTTGTGAAATCATGTGTTGTTGAAATGTGAAATTAGTCAATTACAATAGTAAGTAATTGCAAGGTGTGATTTATCTCAATACATTGTTGGAACAATTGAATAAGGTTTATCAAACACTTACTCTCTGTTCGGAATTCGGAAATAGTTGTGTATGTATACTATTTTGACATGTTCGGAAAAGGTGATAGGATCATACACTAAATTTTGGTGTAATTGTGGCAAATCTATCTAATGAGGGTTAAGGAGAATGTTAGACGAAGTATACTTTTGGGAGTAAAGGGGTGTTTATTTTTACTTTTTAGTAGAAATATGGGAATTTGTTAGTGTTCCATTCCTAATGTAATGGGTGGAGAAAATGAGTTTTGTTGTATTATGCTAAACCTTATGCTTGAAAAATTACTTTTAAAATAAGAAAATTGTGAACAAAATAAGCAGGCAATGAATAAGATATTAGCACTGTGAATCTGTAGAAAGATCATTTTATCCTGAGAATTGGACTAATTTTTGTACCATCGATGAACTCAACTATTTTTGTTGATTCTGTACATTGCTATTTTAGATAGGGGTACTGTTGTTGGCTGTGTGATTATCTTGTCTCTCATAATAAACTAAGGAATTACTTATTTTATCCTGAGAATGGAATTTGTGTACCCTCGCGATGAACTCAACTATTTTTGTTGATTCTGTACATTGCTATTTTAGAATAGTGGTATTGTTGTTGGCTGTGTGATTATCTTATCTCTCGTGATAAACTAGGGAATCCAATACTAATATGTGGCGTTGTAGGCACTTCCTTACATACGCTGCATTGGCGAATCATGGCCAATGACAAAAGAACGTGCTTATTTTGAGGCGGTGACATTGAAAGAACATGGTCGCTTGTGTCCTGCTCATGTTCCAGAGGTTTATCACTTTGATCGTCTAATGTCTTTGATTGGCATGCGTTATTTGAAGCCTCCACACATCATCCTTAGAAAGGGTTTGATTGCTGGAGTTGAATATCCATTGCATTCAGAACACATGGCAGAATATATGTCAAGGACTTTGTTCTATACCTCTCTTCTTTATACTACCACTACGGAGCATAAAAAAAGAGGTACATGCTTTTCTTTTTGCTGTTCTGTTTTATTGTTCCTTGTGGTTTTCATTCGACAATGCCATTTGCTGATTCATTTTATTTGGAACAAAATTTATTGATTTCTTATACCACTCCTGTTTCTGTATAAACCTAGTACTATAAGTCAAATTTGTTTCTTTATGGCTGCCTCTTACTCTTACTTCAATTAATTGCTCTACAATATTGTCAAACTCTATGCTACTCAGAGTTGGGTAATTGTATGTGTCAAATGCCACTACATAATATTTATGAAAAAATTTCGTGTATTTGATCCAAATTGAAGTGTTTAGCGTCTGTGTTGAAGATCTGACAAGGGTGCTTGATAAGAATTGAAGATTTTGAGTAACCCAGGTTGATATTGAAGATTCTACTGTGGTTTTGTATGCTATTTGAGTTCTGAGTTAGTACATGTTTCCAAGGATAGATCAAATCTCGTGATTCTCATCCATCATTGTGTATATTTTGACATTTATCTTCTGTTGGTCTTACGTCTATCGAAATGCATCCTTCCTCAGTATAATTAATGGTTTTTGCAGTTGCTGAGTTCTGTGGAAATGTGGAGTTGTGCCGGCTTACTGAGCAGGTTGTATTCTCTGATCCGTACAAGGTATCTGAGTATAACCGTTGGACTTCTCCTCACCTTGATCGTGATGCCGAGGCTGTTCGTGATGACAATGATTTGAAGCTTGAAGTTGCTCAGATGAAATCCAAGTAAATGTTCTGTCTGAACAGAATAATGCTTTTTAAATAATGCTTTTTAAAAAAAGTTCTTTTATGGTATGATCCATTTTAGAAGAAGCGTGAGTTAATTATTGCTCCTTGTTACAGGTTCTGTGAAAGAGCACAGGCTCTTATTCACGGAGATCTCCACACTGGTTCTGTCATGGTCACTCAGGATTCAACTCAGGTGATTGATCCAGAATTTGCCTTCTATGGGCCGATGGGATTTGACATAGGAGCTTATCTGGGAAACCTTATTTTGGCCTTCTTTGCTCAAGATGGACATGCAAATGAAGAGAATGACCGAAAGGTTAGCTCAATCTATCTACTCATTGTTTTTCCTTGTCTACTTGTTGCTCTGGGATGTATTATTGCCTATGATCCTTGGAGGATCAACGTACTGAAACTCTGAGGATAATTTTACATTAGCTTGCCAGGCAATATAAGGATTATACTTTTGGCAAAGACTGCAAAGTCTGAGTTGCAGTGGTGGGAACTGGTATTGGGGAGATAAAGAAATGTAGCCTATTCTGAAGTATGATAAGATAAGCCTTGCAGAGTTGTAGTCCTCTGGAGCATCTCTTAGTTGACAACAAGCATATTTTTACCTTTCCTAATGTGTTGGAGAGAAATAGATATTGAGCTGAGAAATAGTGGATCTTTAACATACATAGGCTTAAAGCATTGTTTGGTAGATGCCGAGTTTAGAACTCTCATTTATCTGAAAACTTCTAACATATCTGCAAGTATTATGTTTCATAGTTTATTTTCTTCATCGTCATCCTTTCAATAGATGGATATTGGATATATTCTTTCTGACTGTGATTCACTGAGTTGTGTTGGAATTTACAAATGTGCAGAAACATCTAGGTTAACTAAAGTGTAGCATCATAATATTATTATAGCTTTTCTAGACTGTTAATACTGAATTGAATCATTAGCTTTACAGTAGTGTTTAGAGATCAATGATGGAGGAAAAGGAAAGATTAGGTGGCAAGCTGATAATGAATTCATCACACTCCTTTCCACTGTTATCTCCTTAAATCTTCTGTCTAAAGTCTAAACGCTTTATTTTGTAAGCCCTTTTTTTTTTTTAAAGACATTAGTTTTGTAAACTTTCTGAACGCTACTTTATGACTAAATTTAATTTTATTTTCCCAATCTTTATTTCCTTTTTGCTTGCTTTCTTCGTGAAGCTTGCAAGATTGCTTCGGCACCCTTCACACCCTTTGTATTTTCCCCTTGGCCTGATCTGACTGAGCAGGGAGTGAAGTTTGTTATTTGATGGGAGACAAGCCCTTTGGATTGATTGGCTCACTTTACTGATAAACTTTTGCGGGAAGTTTGTCCACTCGGGCAAATTATTTTTAATCTTATATAAGTAGTGTGTATTCTGGCTTATATCAATTAGATTTTACAGCTTTGATCCATTTCAAAAGTACAACGCCTAAGCGTTATGCTAGGCGTTGTACTTTAATCCACTGAGAATAAATTGCACTTTTTCATTTATTCCTTGGTATGTTTTTTATTTTGCTTCATTGTGGAATCAGAAAATCCAACTACATTTTTTAAAAAAAAAATTCTGTTGGTTTTTTTTAATCTTCAATGTGTTTCATAGGCTTACAAGAGATGGATCCTCAAAACTCTCGGTGACACTTGGAATCTATTCCACCAAAAATTTATCGCTCTTTGGGATGAAAACAAGGATGGACCTGGTGAAGCATATCTTCCACAGATTTATAACAATCCTGATGTTCAGAAACTCGTGCAAACAAAGTATATACAAGATTTGTTCCATGATTCTCTAGGATTTGGCTCTGCCAAAATGATAAGGTGAGTTTAACCCATTGTTTTTTTTTTTAGCCTGTTAGTGCTTCTTTACGACAGGATTACCTTTAAATTAATCTCTTTTGTGATCTGGATGGATGAACATACAATGATCATCTTCCAATTTTTGTGTTATACAGGAGAATCGTTGGTGTGGCACATGTTGAGGACTTTGAATCAATTACTGATGCTTCCAAACGAGCTGACTGTGAGAGGAAGGCGCTCAACTTTGGAAAAATGCTCATGAAGAAACGCAGGAATTTTGCTTCTATTGATGAAGTAATCACAGCTATACAGGAGGTTGATTCATAATTTGTTGATGTTGCATCACGCACAAGTTCATAGATGTAATTTTAGGAATAATCGATGAGCTTCTTTGAGGTTGATAGTCTACAAGACTACAACTCTGTTGATCGTATTAATACATCGAGTGAAGGAAACAATACAACTCATGAGTGAGTAAGTTTATATTTCTCTCCTAGTTTCATGGTTTCCCTTTTGATTTAGCATATTTCGGCAAAGATGCATGTATAGTTGAACCTTGAACGCCTCATAATTTATCCGTAAACGTAACTACAAGTACCCTTATAGTAAAAATACTTCGTATTGTAGAATTTTGCCTATAAACAATTTTTTTTTAACCTTTATAATTGTTTTGAGAGTTCTTATCAACTTTTCTAATTGACTTAGACATAACGAGGTTAGGAGTAAAGATTAAATTCATCAAATGAGTTGAGAAAAAAATGTCGTTACTTATAAAGTAATACTGTAGTTTTGTTTTGTAATCTAAAGTGAGATATGAATCTTCAAAAGTACGATAGGGCCGCTTCAATCTATCAAGATTTGCCAAATTGAGCTCTATGTCTCTACTCATGGCTTGACTGGCTTCTTGCACTGAATTCCATGAACCTTTCCCTCCGTCCCATAATATAGTTACGGTTGTCCTATTTTGGACATTCAAAATGTTGTTTTTATTTCTATTTTTTTATAGTATGTAAAGACTATTATACCCTTGTGAGAGTGAAGACTAGCTCAAGTGGTTAGAGCTTCCTTTCTGATTCTAGGAAATTATGAGATCGATTCCCATCACCCGTCCTTGTAACTCTCTAAACAACAACAACAAAAAATAAATAAATAAAATAAAATAAAATAAAATATTGTTTTTCCCTAAATCAAAATTATACTCTTACTTCCGTTTTCAAAATAAATAAATAAATAAATAAAATTATACTCTTACTTCTACATATTAACCAAAAAAGTAATACCCAGTAGATTTTAGAATTCAAAGTCATAAAAAAAAGAAAAAAATAAAGAAATATTCTAAGATTAGTACATAGGTTAGATTAAAGAGATAAAAATACAACTAAATTGCAATACATTTTGGTTGGACATTCACAATTGTGTTGAATAGAAAGGCACTTTATGTTGTTGAGGAAAGAACGTGGATGACAAACATAATCATTGAGAAAAACCTTTGTATTTGAATAAATTATATAAATGTAGTACTGTCAAAACGGTTTGACAGTTCGGTTTCGGTTCGGTTTGAAATCGGTTCGGTTTGAAATCGGTTCAAAAGTCTTACGGGTCGGTTTCAGTTCGGTTTAAATAATTATCGGTTCGATTCGGTTTCGGTTTATTCGAACCACGGTTTAAATTTGGTTCGGGTTGTATACGGTTCGGGTAGTAAACGGTTCGGTGCAGACGGGTTGCGGTTTGTTAACGGTTCGGTGTAAACGGTTTTTATCCCAGTTTAAATTCGGTTCGGGTTGTAAACGGTCCGGGTAGTAAACGGTTCGGTGCAGACGGGTTGCGGTTTGTTAACGGTTCCGAGTAAACGGTTTTTATCCCGGTTCAAACAGTTTCGGGTTAGAAACGGTTCGGTTCTTTTTTGTTTCAGTTTTATTTTAGTTCGGTTCGTTAACGGGTTCGGTTCTTAATTAGTCAACAAGACTGTTAATCAAGACTCGTTTATCATTATATATTTGCATAAAGTTATATATGAAGATATTACAAAGTAGTTTTATTTGTATAATGAAAGAAAACATTAATGAATAAGAAGGTAATATTGATTCTTCTTTCAATCGATTATACATATACATAGCATCTAACCATCTCATATTCTCATAGTTAAATATTTATTAGTATAAAGGGATGAGAATCATAAGATTATTATATTTTTGTATATCCTTTACTGGTTTACCCCTGAGGCTTAAGTCATTAATTAATAATTACTAATTTCTTAATTAGACTAACAAGTTAATAAGAAAGAGTAACTTTTAACTTGAGTCTAATAGATCAAATACTGAAATGCTATTAGTATATTACCGAGTAGGATGGTCTACTACACTGTTAATTAATCTGTTATGCAATTATGCTAAATTGATAATTGCTCATATAGTCATATTAGTCAATCACTCATGTAGTCATATCTAATTAAGTATTTGTATTTATGTACTAATCTACTAGTCAATTCTATCATTTATAAGTTTACACGATTACAAGTGTATTGCTTACAGACATAGCTAAACTGATATAAATATAATCATATAACAAATCCGTAGTACTTCTAACTCTCTAATATATGACGTCATTATATTATTATACGGTATTCGATTTTTTTATTAATCGCAACGCTAGACATTTACACGCTAACCGATTCACATTTTATACTTTAAATAACTTAATAAGTTAATGTGTGTGTTAAAAAAAATATAAAAGATGATATTATGAAGGTATATATCGTTTTATCGGGATTCGAGAAATGTAATTAATTTATAAGCGGTTTGTAAACGGTTCGATTTATAAGTGGTTCGGTTCATAAACGGTTCGGTTTATAAACGGTTCGGTGCAAACGGGTTGCGGTTTGTAAACGGTTCGGTGTAAACGGTTTTTATGTCAGTTCAAACGGTTTCAGGTTAGAAACGGTTCGGTTCATTTTCGGTTCGGTTTCCTTTCAGTTCGGTTTAGATTTAGTTCGGTTCTTAAACGGTTTAACGTTTACTCGGATCGGTTCGGTTTCGGTTTTACTAACATACGGTTCGGGTCGGTTTTCGGTTTTATAAAATCGGTTTTTAATCGGTTCGGTTCTCATTCGGATCGGTTGAAACAGTTCGGTTTCACCAGTTCGGTTCGGTTTTTGACAGTGCTATATAAATGTATAAGAAGAAAGATGGAGATAGTGAAAGAATTTGGTAGTGGAAATATATTTTGATAAATGGACTTTAATTTATTGTCCTTAAAAGAAGATGTGAACAAAAATATAGATTGGTTTGGATTTTATAGATTATAAACAGATTGATATCTAAAAGAAAAGACACATATATACTACCAAGCCATTTCTCTAAACTTGATTTTGAAAGAGATGTCCCTGAAAGGACATTCTTGTTCGTTAAGTTGTATACTTGTATGTAGCTAATAAAGCAATTGCATGCATGTTAAAGGACTATCTTAACGAAAAGTTTAAGCTAATGGTTGAAATCATGCAGGAATTTATTTAATACTCTATTACGCTAAAAAACTTAAGCTAATGGCTGAGATCTTGAAATACGTTGTATACTCTATCAACAATCGTGATTGTAGAAGCTACATAAAAGCAGTCAAAGGTTCAATGCAGCTAATTAAATTAGTTAGTTTAGCTAATGTTAAGAAGGTAAAAGTACGTCTCGGGGTTATTACATTGTGATACTTATATTAAGGAACATGCATGGTATAATAGTTTAAATTAAATTAAACCATGATCCATGATTGTTTAATTCATTCAAATTGTAATCATCTGAACCGTTGATCTTGCCACTTCCTTACAAGTTCATTACTATGCTATATCACAATTTAATTTCTGATTTTGACATTATATTGTTGAAAATGATTGTGATGAGATATGCTTAGTTTACAAGAAGCCAAAACAAAGATGAATATGGTATAAATGTAAACATATAATGTATTGGTTTTAATTGCCCTTTCATATGTTTGTATTGAAATAGTGCTTTGTTTTTTGAATAATTCTATTGAATAGTACCTACGGTATGAGTAATTAAAGATATAGGATGTATGTGCTTGGTCTCGTGCTAAAGGTCCCGAGTCCACGTGGTTTAGGATTAGCCAATGAATTACGTGTCATGCCATGTTAAAATTTTCAAAAAAATCATGCACCACCATGCCAATCAAGCCATGTCGTGCTTGCGTGCCTAAGTCAAGTTTCACTCATTTAGCATGTTTTGTCTTGTCTTATCGTACTTCTTCTAAACATTGTGGGTCAAGGCCTAACACGCACAATAAATTTTCATGTGGTGTCTAGTGCCTACATCATGCCGATGTCATACCACACCTTGAGTCAGTCCGGCCTATTGCCATCTTTCGAAGTAATAGATTTAAGCGAGTTTTGTATAGTTGGTAACTATTCAAATACTCTGCCTGACTCTTTTAACTATTTTCACCTCTGCCTATGACTAATTGACCATTCACTCTTGTAGAAGCATATAACCGGATCATCTTACGGCTACCAACCTTAAAAAAGTTATAATGAATACTTCTACTATATAGTAAGTGAGTATGAGAGTGAGGGATAACTCAAGTGGTTAGAGTTTCCCTCTCGATTACAGGAGATCTTAGGATCGATTCTCACCCCGTCCTTGTGGCAAACACCAAACACCAAAAAAAATATAGTATACAACTAAATGCTAATAATACACAACCATAATCAACCAATAAAGTTCCTAAATAGTATAGTAACGGTAATCACGCAATGTTAGTAGGAAGAGGTGAAAGAAAACAGAAGGGTAGTCAATTGTATAACAGTATAAGCTATGATGCACGGACACGCCTGCCAAGTGGCGTGTCCGAGTCGACACGCGTGTCGGACACGGACACGCGTGGGACACGGGGGGATACGTCTTGGACACGCGAAAATCCGTGTCCGTTTTTTTTTTTGAATTTCTTCTGTACGGACACGGGTCGTGTCTCACCCAGACACGGTCCGTTTTGTGATGGACACGCAATTACGGCTTTACAAGCCCAACTTCCTCCATTCTCTCTGACTCTCTCACATTCTCAATTCCTCCATTCACAATTCACAAACCTACTGCCTTACTCAAGCTCCCTGAGTCCCAGACCGTCAGCCACTCACCGTCGCGCCGATAACTGCCGTCGCTTCACCTGCTGCTGCTGGTCCAGACCGTCACTCAGTTCACCGTCGCTTCGTCGCCTACAGCCTACTCTCACAGAGACACAGACTTCACTCGCCGCTCGTTGTTCGTCCTCAGCCACCACCCCAGTGTCGCCAGCCACCAGTCCAACAGACCACCACCAGGTAACTCGCTCAACCTAGGTTTCAGGCCGTGGCTTGACTGGCTTCTGTACTTTGTTTTTTTTTTAAATTCAATTAATTCAGTCGCTAACTCGCTCAACCTAGGTTTCAGGCTGTCGTTGTTCGTCCTCAGCCACCAGTCCACCACCCAGTACCGTCCGTCGCCACTCGCCAGCCACCAGTCCACCACCAGGTAAGGGTTATGTGACTTCTGTCTTCTGTACTTTGTTTTCTGAAATTCAATTGCTGAATGCTGATGTTAATTGTGAGGTGGAGCCGTGGAGGCAGTATCACTGTAATTCGCAATTGTTAATTGTTAAATGTGATGTTAATTGTTAATTGTGATGTTAATTGTGAGATGGGTTCAGCTGTCAAATTGTATTGTGCCCTGGTTGCTGAAATTGTATTGTATTGTTGACTCGCTGACTTGCTGGTTGCTGAAATTGTATTGCTGAGTTGCTAACTTGCTGGTTGCTGAAATTGTATTGCTGACTTGCTGGTTGCTGAAATTGTATTGTTGTGTTGCTCACTTTGCTGTGTTGTCTTGCTGAAATGTGCTGTTGTGTTGCTGAAATTGTCAGGAATGTCTTCTAGTTCCTCTGCTTCATGCAATGTCAGTGGTAGTAGTAATTCATCTGAGTCAATGAAAGACCTCTACCCTTTGTGGAAGTTTGTTGTTAAGGGTGATAAAATATCGGGTGGTGGAGGAAATTATAATTGGAAATGTAACTTTTGCGGCGAAGTTAAAAATGGTTCATACACTAGAGTGAAAGCTCATTTGCTAGGTGAACAAGGGAAAGGGATTCAAACTTGTAATAAAGTGAAAATTGATGACCTTGCTAAACTAAGATCGCTTCATCGTGAATCCGAGGATTATAAAAAATCTTTGTTACCAAAAGTTCCACCTTTTTCAAATGAACCCATATCTTCTCACACATCAACTGAAGCTACATCAATGAGACTAGGTTCATTTGATAATGTAAAGAAGAGGAAATCAAAAAATACAATTTCCGATGCTTTTAATGTGAAATCTCGTGACCACTTGGATTCTGAAATTGCTAGAATGTTTTACACAGGGGGGTTGCCTTTTAATCTTGCTAGAAACCCTTACTATGTTAGTTCATATACAATGGCTGCCAATTCTAATCTCTCTGGTTATAAGCCTCCCGGATACAACAAACTTAGAACAACTTTGCTTTGTAAAGAGACAGAAAATGTGGATAGGTTATTACAACCTATGAAAGCCACATGGAAAACAAAAGGTGTTAGCATTGTTAGTGATGGGTGGAGTGATCCACAAAGAAGGCCTTTGATTAACATTATGATTGCTTCTGAAACGGGTCCTATGTTTATGAAAGCTATTGATTGCTCGGGTGAGATTAAGGACAAAGATTTCATTGCTACCTTACTAAGTGAGGTGATTGATGAAATTGGAGATCAAAATGTTGTTCAAATAATCACAGATAATGCAAGTAATTGTAAGGCTGCAGGGGAATTGGTTGAGGGCAGGTATCCTCATATATATTGGACACCATGTGTTGTTCATACACTTAATCTTTCAATGAAAAGCATCTGTGCAGCTAAGAATGTGTTGAATAATGTTGAAGTATATGATGAATTTCATTGGATAACGGAAGTTCATGCAGATGCCTTGTTCATTAAAAATTACATAATGAATCATTCGATGAGGCTTTCAATGTTCAATAAGTTTTCGCCATTAAAACTACTTTGCATTGCCGACACTCGTTTTGCTTCAATTGTGTGCATGCTTAAAAGGTTGAAACTCCTTAAAACATCACTTCAATCAATGGTTATTAGTGAGAATTGGTCCTTATACAAGGATGATCGACGCGGGCAAGCCTCACATGTAAGGGAAAAGATTTTGGATGAAATATGGTGGGAAAAAGTTGATTACATTCTTGATTTTACACGACCAATCTATGAGATGATTAGGGTTTGTGACACCGACAAATCTTCCTTGCATTTGGTTTATGAAAGATGGGACATTATGGTTCAAAAGGTGAAAGATGCCATCTACAAGAAAGAGGGTAAACTAGATTATGAACAATCTACCTTCTTTAATGTAGTTAAAGGGATTCTTAGTAGTCGTTGGAGTAAGGGTAGTACTCCACTTCATTCATTAGCACATTCTTTGAATCCAAGGTAAGTTTTACTTATTTAATTCATCTTTATTTATTTTTCCTTGTTTTTTATTTAATTTCTTATGGCTATTCTTATTTTGTTGTTAAAGATTTAACACGGAAGAATGGCTTAATGAGGTCCCGGGACGAGTTGCTCCAAATGCCGACAATGAAATTTCCACACAAAGATTACAATGCTTTCGAAGGCTTTTCCAAAGTCCCGATGAAAGATTCAAGATCAACACGGAATTTGCAATATTCTCACAAAAATCAGAGGGGATCTTTCTCAACATTGATTGCATGCATGATATGGCTTTGATGGATGCTAAAAATTGGTGGGCAACTTATGGTTCCCAAGTGCCTATGCTTCAAGGTTTGGCTTATAAGCTATTAGGTCAACCTTCTTCCTCTTCTTGTAGTGAAAGGAATTGGAGCACCTATAAGTTTATTCATTCTTGCACTAGAAATAAGCTTACTCCTAAACGTGCTCAAGACTTGGTATACATTCATAACAACCTTCGATTACTTTCTAGGAGAAGTGAAGAATACACTAAGGGGAGATCTAAGTTGTGGGATGTGGGTGGAGATGAGCATGACAACCTAGGAGAGGTTGGTATTCTAGAGATGGCCGAGCTCTCACTTGATGAACCCGAGATGGAGAATATGATTTTTGATGATGTACTTGGTGATGGTGAAGAATGAAACTATTAGTACTTTTGTTTATTTTATTTATGATTTGTAAAACTATTATTAAGACATGTATTTGGTTTGATGGTTTCTTGATATGTATGAGACTACGTTCGTACACTTTGTTTATTTACTTGTTTTAACAAAATTGTGTGTTTTGAGGCTAATTATTTAGTGTTTTATTGAATAGGTTGTCAAATTCTCGTTTTTTTGATATATTATATGCCTTGTTATATGCCGTACCCGTGTCCCCTATTTCAGGATTGCCGTTTTCCCGTGTCCGTATCGTGTCCGTGTCCGTGTCCGTGTCGGTATCCGTGCAACATAGAGTATAAGCAGTCACAAAACGACATTTGAGAATAAAAGTAGATGGAGTGTAAACAACATGAGAAGTTTATCTTTCTAGTATGACTAAGGATATAATATAAAATAAAAAGCTCAAAATTTTGAATGTCTCTAAAGTTGTATATAACGCGTTAAAAGAATAAAAGTAAATTAAAAACATAGAAAATTTTCTACTTTTATTATTGTTTTTTTTTCCTATTCCATTGTAACAGTTCTAATTTGGATGGATAAGGAATAATAATAATTAACAAATTTCCTCATCACCTTATTAATTATATATTATGGGTCGGGCTACAATTGAAAGACAAGCTATTAGTTAGGGCCATCCATAGTTAGACTATAAAGTTTGTTAAGTTAATGTTTGACAATGCCAATTAATTAATTATAATATAAGTTGTAATGACAGAAAGAAGACATTTTTAAGACCATGATCATGCCTGTGCTCGTCTATGCCGGTGATTTATACCCTTTGACTTGGACATTTAATTAATCCAATTTTATTTTTTTTAATCCAAGGTTGGAATTAATTAGAATCGTTAGAATTCATCCATAGAATAATGAATGAAGATAGGATGACAGTCAATTTCATCAAATATTATATTGTGATTGAAAAAGCTAAGGATGATATCAACGCACATTTAAAAAGATTGGAATTCAATTTATACGTGAACCAAATAAGCATATAATTAATTAATAATTAATAGAAATGATATTGTATGTCATATATATTGCGACTTTGCAAGGGATAGATATTATTTATAATTAATTTATATATTATGTTAGACATAATAATGAGATTTTGGAAGAATTTATGAAACACCATGTTAGTTATATTTTGAATAATGAGGGTTTTAATTAAGTGTATAGCACATACGATACATAAGAGAGATTGATTATTGCTGGTGGGTGAGATCTGAATGAAAGATCTCCTACGCTCTTATGTACATGCATGATGCAAGTCATGCAACTACGTGATCATTGTCTGAGACTACGGCAAAAGATGGTCTTTTAAGACTTTAAAATTTCTCCTCAAATTATTGTTATGTTAAACTTTTTTTTAATTTATTAATCTGTACTTGTAACAAGGTAATAGACATGTACATACTTGATCAAGTTAAAGGGCACGCAACTTATTGATTATTTATTACTACTAGGTAGATATATACATCGTTCATATGTATGTTGTCCATCACAAATTAATAACTGTCACATTAATATATAGTATAACTCGATCTAACGTATTCTAAACAAATACAATACGTTAATATGAGATTGATGTTAAGTGTATGTAAATGGACCAAAATTAATACGACATAACACCCAAAAAAAATTATATCACGCAACTTTTATCCCTAGCTAAGTAGCTAGTCCTCAAACCTTTTTCTTCCTCTTTAGCAAATTAACACGTATAATTAAGGAACAATGTACCTTTATCGCTCCTCCCTCTTTAGCAAATTAACACATATAATTAAGGAACAATGTACCTTTATCGCTCCTCCCTCTTTAAAGCGTCTTATCAAATAACTCAACCGACCTGACCTAAGATTTCATACCAATATATAAGGGTCCGTCACTTCAGCTTAATTTCAGTTCAGTTCAGTTCCTAATTTCCTTTTCTCATAAAATATTCAGTTCAGTTCAGTTCAATCCAGCTTAGCTCATTTCAGCAAGTCACTTCATTGTTCTTACTTTTAAAAAACATATAATTAAGGAAGGTGTAAAAGGGAGTTTAATTAATAATAAGTTATAACCATGCATGCCAAACACACCTCGCAATTTAAAATACAACATAGTGGTTAGTAAGTGCTCATTTCTTGGCAAATTTTTTAAGAAGTATTTGATGACAAATAATGCGGTTGTCTTTCCATGTGGGAAAGAGAATTTTGGAATCCACAAAACCTAAGCCTCCAACTTTGTTCATTGACATATAATATTTCATTTTCAATTTCTATTTCAATTTATAAGTAGTGTCGATAAAAAGAATCTTATATAACACATAACACATGTGTACGTGCTTACTTGTTCCTAGCTTTTTCCGCTATTTTTTGATTTTTTGAAGATTACTATTGCTAAATTATGCACCTCGTCTTATTTCATAATTATAAATTTAATTTGGTCATCGTTTCGAGTTTTATTAATGGTATGAGCCGCGTGACGGTGTGATATTATATTATCATTAACAACAAAAGTCTTAATCGATTGTTCGTAGGTAATTGTCGATCTTTGTTTGTAATTTATTTTCTAATGCGTGTTTGTTAGAACAAATTGATACTATTATATGTTTATAAAGGTTTTTGGTAAAGTCAATTTGCAATATCTCGGTTCTCTTTACTATGTAAAAACTAATTTTTTTTTTAATTTTTTTTTTACTCTGGGTAATTTATTTTATCTTATGCAAATTCGGTTAAATTTTGTGCAATGCACGATTGCTAATTATTTTCAACAATAATATTATTAAAATGATTTATAAATATAATGACTCGAGTATTGAAAATTAGACATAGAGTATATTAAAAATAAAAGCATGTAGACATTTTAATATTTTAGAGACTTATATTTTATATAAAACAAATGTCATAATTTAATTACAAATATTTTTTTGTTAAGTAACAATGAATTTTTTTAAGAAGGTCTTTTTGGAGGGAAAATTTTTGATACACTATTGATAAGTGTTCTCTTTATTTCGCTTTTATTAGTATGTAATAAATTAATTGATACAAAAGGTAAAAGTTGTTTATAATTGACTAATCAAAGTTATGATAGTAATGAAATTTAGGGAATTGTTGCATGTTCTTAATACGAATACTAGTAATAGAAATACAAACGTACACTCCGTAAAAGTCAACAGCACGCAGGTGAGTACAAACAAACTCTTTGGCGTAAAAAGGCTTCACAAGCTAAGGCTTTAGTGCTTGATAGAACTCTTGATGATGAGTTGATGAAATCTCCAAATATCGAAAAATCAACGTTGTAGTTGTACATATGTAGTGTATATAGTATACTCCATTTGTATTTTTTATGTATTTCTACATGTACTGTGTTAATTAAAATATCGACTAATTTTTTATTTTAGGTTTTGTTCTCTTTGGAATATTTTCAGTTCAGTTCTTAATTTCCTTCTCTTATAAAATATTCATTTCAGTTCAGCTCAATTAATCAGAACAGGCCCTTAGTGGAAAAATTGCTTCTGTATCTCATAATTACAATGATGTAGTAGAAAGATTGTTGTCTCACAATTATGATGGCCTGGTGTGGGACTGGGATGACTAGGATCAATCTCCACCAAAGACATCTTTGAGAATAGAAGTTTCGTTACCCTTCTCTTGGCCACCACTTTCAAGGGACCTTTTTCTGCGTGCCCGGACCGGGTTGACTTAGGAGAAGTTTCGATTCGATAGGGCGTTTTCTTCTTACTAACCCCCCCAAAAAAAAATTTAAATAATTCATAGATCTTGTGTGCTTTTTAATCATCTAATAAATTATAATTTTTACAAGTTCCGAATATGGAGTGTATGGCAATAAACTCGAAAATATGATACTCTATTTCATAAGATCTTATTTAAATCATTCTAATCTATTCTGATTTTAACAAAATTAAATAGTATGTACTCCTTACTACAAGTATAAGAATAACGTAAAGAGATAGAACAACTTAAAACATTAATCAATTTATTCTTCATGGTATTAAATAGTATATATATATGTACCCTTTCTTTTCTCCAATGGACTAATTTAAACTGTGGATTGAATAGGTGAGATGTCGAGGCTTTCCAATTTGTTGTACGTACAAATGAAATGTAAGTTGATTTATTATGTATATCTAAATTCACATGATTCATAACTTCCCCCATTAATTCTTGTAAATGAGTAGAAGCAAGATTTATTCTTGTGATTCATATATATTTTTGGATACGATAATATTATCATATACAAATACAAATAGTTAAAAACTTAAAATCAGTTTATATGAATGTGACAAGATAGTGTACCTGTAGAATCTTGAAACTGCAACTACATGTGATAGTCACGTCAAAGTACATGCAATATAATGGAAATTATCCATTCATGTCAATTTTTAACAAGTTGATTGCTAGTTGTTATATTGGTGGAATATTGGAATAATTATATGTCAAGAATTATGTCATTTTTGTTCAAATTTGATCATTAAGTGTAGCTTTGCATTGCATTGCATAATCTTTTCCTTTATTAGAGTGTTACACAACATGTTGAGAACAATTAATTTTCACATGTGGGTTTTTTGGGTTTTTTTATTTTTATTTTTTGACAGGCACATGAAAATTAAATACTAAGTACTAAGTACCTTCTATAAAAAAAATTTGTAACACAGCAACATTTAGATTAAATAAAGTAAAAATTTTAAAGCCATTTAAAACGTTACTTTTCTTTTTTTTTTTTTTTTTTTTTTTTTTTTGGAAACTAAAACTTTACTTAGGGAGTACTTTTTTTTTTAGGTCTTCAAGATGTTCCACCACTTTAATGCTCCCACTTGGGTCACAAGCTTGCGTTACCAAGCTCAGCTACTTAGGGAGTACTTGAAAACTAAAAAGGAGTATATACTTGTTCATAGAGTTTAGAGGTATTAATTGGATTTGTTTCCTTGTGAGTCCACCCTCTAGCTCTATGCATGGAATTTCAAAAACAAATATTCTACTCTGTAATAATTTACATAAAACTATCAATAAACTACATAAAATGTCCCGTTCAAAAAAAAAAAAAAAAAAAAAAAACTGCATGAAATGTCAAAAAAGTAACATCTAAATATTAGAATTCGAGATATTGAGAAATTCATATAAAACGTTATATTGTCTCACGGTGGAACCTAATTCACACAATACTTTCTCATAAAATTATTTCAAATCCGGTTGTTGACGAAGAGTTTTGATTGATTAAGGGTCTATTCATATTTACTGAACTGAACTGATTGAAGCTGAACTGAACTGAACTAATTGGAGCTGAACTGAACTGAACTAAGCTGAAATGAATATTTTATGAGAGAGGGAAATTAAGAGCTGAACTGAACTGATTGGAGCTTAACTGAACTGAACTGAACTGATTAGAGCTGAACTGAACTGAACTGAACTGAAAATAAGTAAATATGAACAGGCCCTTATCTTTTAAGATTTTTTTTTTCAAGCATATATAGGCTCGTTTTAGACCTCATCATCTGATTATCTAATAGTCAAACAACACCATAGTAAAAAGTGTTATACTAGTACAACTTTTATTGTGTATTGTTAACATTAATGTTGTTGAACTTCACTCTATTTGAACTTGCATGGATTTCAAAAGTCAAAATTGAGCGTAATTATAAGCTTGCTAACATTATGAACTAGGTATTTTTTCTCCATACTCGTTATCTGAATAACTTCACAAAAAAGTTTTGATCAATCGAGCATCTTTTAAAGATTCAAGAATATTGGTTCATTTAAAACCCAATATGCTGATGATTCCCAAATAAGAATTTCATAAAATAGTACGGAGTAACGTATATTACAATTTTCTCCTAATTACTCCGTATATATTACTAGGTGTACATACTTTACAAGTCACAAAGCTAAAAATGACTCTTAGCATTAAATAAGTCAACTTTGATGATACTGCCGCATTATGCATAAATGACTTGGCAATGCATGTAATTGAAGCCTCCATTAGCATATTTAACTATTTGGAAATTTGAAAGTTGATTCATTAACTAGGAATCATATGACATCCATAATATAATATAAGAGAAGATTAACATATAATACGTAAATATTAAGTTTGAATAGATAAATTCGATTCTAATACTATGATAGTGTAAATGAGATGTAACATCTTTAATTTCCATATCTGATCCTCTTTCATGTTGCTATTTGATTAATCCTTAGGGTCTGTTCTCATTGACTAAAATCAGTTGAGCTGAATTGAAATGAATATTTTATAAGAGAAAGAAATTAGGAGTTGAATTGAACTGAAAATAAATGTATGAGAACAGGCCCTAGGAGGAGCATGTGTGCAAAATTGCATTAATAAAACTTTTTGATATAATAAGGTTCATTTAGTCTATAGTGGCTTAGGTTAGGTTTTCTATTCAAAATAAAAGCTTGTAGCCCAAAAATGTCGCATAACTCAGTCACACTGACTAAAATTGACTAAAGTATTTAGTAGTGATCTGATCCATAATCAACTCTATCTATCACCTTTTCTATCCCGCCAACGACTTCCAATGTTTCAGTGTTCTAAAAGACTTCAAAGAGAGGAAAAGCATTTTATTACAAGACACAAAATTATAATTTGAAGATACCTTGCTCAATATGTAGGCATAACTTTGTACAAATTTGGTAGAGTATGAAGAAGAATATGCTATGGAAATGAACCAAAGATCCAATGGATAACAATTACCATAAGAATTGCCGCTAATTGGGGTATTGCCATCAAGGCATCAATGTCCCACCCCATGCCTTAAATTTAATATTCCAATTAATTTTCAACTTAAAAAGAATGACTTCACTACTATCACTTCTTTTTGAAAATAAATAATAAATACAATTAAAAAAAAAATTAAGAATTTCCTTCAAAAAAAAATAAAAAAATTAAGAATTACTCGTAATATTGCTTAATTGTAGAAGCAGTGTTGTAGTAGTTGTCAATCAGCTTGATCTATGGAGTAATTTGATTCAATAATTAAAAAATAAATAAAACTAGTTAGTTAGATATGATCTCAAAGACTATTCAAAAGCAAATACCAAAAATTATTTGATTTCTTATAATTTGCATCAAAACAAAATATTTGTTCCATATAGTCAATTATGTCACCTTGTATCTATATGATAAATTGATATGTACGTACATATAAATATAACACATTTTTGTAACAAGATCTACTTCATTCATGTACCAAATTATCAAAGAAGAAAAAGACGACTTTTATAATCAAATCAGACTACTAAATACATACAGTATACAACTAATATAAGAGCTTATATATGTTAGTTTTTCCCTGTTTTTTTCTTAATATAAAGACAACTTTAGAGTCATAAAAGATTATGGTATTCTTCATTTTTTACAACTTTTTGAAATGTTGAAAATCTGAACTTTAAAAGTTGAAAAAGAATTTGATTTAGTACTACTAATGCTAAGGATTAGAAGTTTAATTGTCGCTCTCCAAAATTAGCTGGAAAATTGATTCAATTTTTTGGTCAACCTTTTTACAATATACTCAATGATGTGTCAACTAGAGGTATAATTTCAAATAAGAAGAGAATTTTTTTTTTTTTTTTCATAGCAATTCCAATATAACAATGCTGTTTTTTTCCGTTCAAAATTAAAGTACTTTTATGCTACGTATATTATGAATCATGATAAATTTAGGTAATTCAAAAATAGACCTCCCACCACCTTACGTCCTTACCCCTTATTTATTGTTAGGTATACATTGAGATTTGAGAATTCTCACTTTAAAAAGAGGGTCTCAAAAGAAAATAAATATTGTTAGTTATAGATGGTCAAGTGAAAATCTCATAATCAAACTCTATCATAGTCAAGCACAATATTATGACATACAATAGAGGCAATAGTCGGATTATTTCTGTCAATTTTTTCCTTCAATGATATAAGATACTTAATTTCGCAAGAGTACTTTACTAAAACTTTAAAAGGAGTTTAATGTCACAACTCAAAAGACATTTTCTTTCAGAAAGCGGTCCTAAGGCAACAAGATCATGATATAATATGCGGACATAAAAGTAACAACACTAACATATTCTCACTAGCCTGCCGACACAGTAGACTAATCATTTCGCATCATATAATAAACTATGGATTAATTAGTCAATAATTAGAACACTAATAATTAGTAACAACACATAACACATGATTAGAAGAGAGAGAAAACCAAGGATCCATAAATTTAGGCACTTTGATTTAATGCAAAATATACAAGTTTATTTTTATAACATGATATGATATGAATAATTTATGCATCACTTAAAAATAATCAAATTCTACAGTATTTCTTAAATACAATTTTTTTTATGTAGAATATTTTGGTACCAAACTAACCAAGAACAAATAAAATTACAAACTTGAGTATCTTTTTTATGATCCAAAAGCAAAAGAATAATGATTTTGGTAATTTATATGGGTTTTTGATGCCCCCATAAATCTATCTCACCAATTTTTAACCCCTCCAAGAAAACAAATTCACAGCACTATAAGTGATAAATTAAATTAACAAAAGAGTAAATTCTATGTCGAATAAACGGAAAAAATTTCTATAGGAGATATGATTCTCAGAGGAATTTTATTCGTCTGAATCATGGCTGTACTCGTTAGCAGTAGCTTTTGCATCTATGCAGATGCATTTGATCGCGAAAATTAGATGAACGCGTATGTTATGTGTTTCAGCTCATTTGCTCGCCGATCAAATCTAAGCCCACGAGTAGGAAAGTAACGCCTTGGAATAAGAGGAAGTAGAAATGCACCCCTTGTGCAGATAACAGACTCCTAAGAGCAGCAGTAAGTAGTAAGAAGGCCAATGTAAGCTCTTTCTTGTAGATTTTGTTCGTTTTCTTCTTAGCAGGATTAGGGGTGGCATCCTGATGTTCTTTCAGTTTGGTCAGCTCAGACAGGCCGCTGTCTGAAGCACCTCGGAACAGTTGGGGTTGGTTCATTGCCTTTGTTTCCCGTTCTTCCATGGCTACTAAGTCTGGCTCTGAGGACCGACCTGCTTTCTTGGTGACGATCCATTCATATGAACTACCCAATTGGAATAACCCGGAGATCATTGCATTGAACTTGGTTACTGACATTGTGTTCTCGAACAAAAGGTATGGAACGATGAAGGGGAATGAACTCGGTGAAGGAAGTATATTAAGCAGTGACATGAAAACAGGTATATAACAGATAACCCAAAGTGGTAGCTCGGCTTCAGGGACAAACATGGTCAAGGGAAGAATGATGCAGAACAATGTGAAGGAATAGAATGGCAGAATTAGTTTTCTTAGAAGGAAAAACAGTAGGATAAGGTTCGCTTTCTTCAATGATGACAGCTGCAGATGTGATCGAATTACAATAATCAGAACAATTGAGATCATTTTGAGCAAGAACCAAATATAATTAAGGGTGTTAATTATGCAATTGTAACAAGAAAAGCTACCTTCGAGCTTATGATAGCTGGCAAACATAATCGAAAGAGCTGCATTGGACCCGAATGCCAACGGTGTTGTTGTTTTCTGTAGGCTTCATAAGACTCCGGAAGTTCACATAGGACCTGAAAATGACACAAATTATAGGAAAAGTTTATCAAAATCTGCATAATTCCAAACTCTATCTGATATTTTGGCAATAATGTTTCGCTATCAAATTGATCTAATTCAGTACAATACATTTCACACCAATATGATCTGATCATATAAAACATTGAGCAACACATACCCTGACGTCGTTAAGGTAGACAAACTTCCACCCATTGAGATGAGCACGGACAGCAATGTCCATGTCCTCAACAGTCGTTCTTTCGAGCCAACCACCGGAGTCCTCCAATGCTTTGATCCTCCAAACTCCAGCAGTTCCATTAAACCCAAAGAAACTAAGGTACACACCATTAACTTGTTGCTCCACTTCAAAGTGAAAGCAAAGGTTAATATACTGAAGGCGTGTTAGTAGGTTCTCATCTTTGTTTACAAAGGTCCACCTCGCTTGAACCAAACCAACTTCTGGTTTACCCTGCAATACATCAAAAACACCAACACAAACGAAATTTAAGTTTTTGTATTACTAATTTACTAACAACCACATGTTAATTAAGCAATTTTCATACAAACTACCTCGAAATGTGGGACAGTTTGTTGCAGGAAATCGGGTTTAGGCTGAAAATCAGCATCAAAGATGGCAACAAATTCATAATCTCTAACATAATCACAGTTCATAGCAGACTTCAGATTACCAGCTTTGTAACCAGTTCGAACCAAACGATGTCGGTAGATAATGTTAACACCCTTTTGACTCCATTTAGAACATTCACTCTTGATCAACCATTGTATACTTTCATCATCAGAATCATCTAAAACTTGAATAAGAATTTTGTCTTTTGGCCAATCTAGTTGACAAACTGCTGAAATTGACTGCTCATATACCTAATCAAAACAAAACAGAACAATAACAATTATAACCAATCATTCATAACATAATTAATTAAATGATCATATTACAATTCTATAAATACTTATAAAAATTGGGATTATAAACTTGTAATATATGATATGGTAATGATATATACCTCTTTTTCATTGCACATTGGAATCTGAACAAGAACCATAGGATAAAAAGAGCCAGGATTCTCAGCATCAATTGGCTTAGGTTCACCTTCAACCTTAGGCTTTATCCCTTTAATCTTAATCCAAAAACACCCAAAACACAGCACCAGTCTATCAACAGACTGAATCATGAACAAAAGTACACAGAAGTTGGACAAAAACTGGATCAAAGGAGCAATATACTCGACTCGAAAATCGACCCAACCCACATAAACCTGATGAAACAAACCTTGAATCTCGACGGTTCGAGGTATGATCATACTCAAATTACTTGTTTGAAGGTAATACTGCCAGCCATTGAAATGTGCAAACATCTCAAATGCCAAGAATGCAAGTGCAGTAATCAGAAAACCCAGAATTATCCTGTACAATAATTTCCCTTTACTAGATTTATCATTCTCCATTTTTACACCTTCACCTAAAATCAACCTCTTTTTAATTGTACTTAATAATGATAAAACACCATTTCCAACCCAAGCAACACAACCAGCAGCTTTATGAGCCCTGAGAAGTAAAACCCATGTCATTTGTTTTGCATTTTTACCTCTATCTTTTTCAACTGCCCTAAATGCTGTATCTGGGCTTTCTATTTCAAGTAATGAGTAATTTGGATTCTCCATTTTTACTATTACTGGAGTTCCCTTTCTCTCTCCTCCATCTTTGCCCCACCATTTACTCATATCAATACCAGGAACCATAATTTTTTTGGATTTTTGGCTACAAGTTTTGATTTTTCCTACAATTCAGAAAAAACCCAGATCTTAAAACCAGGAAATTCTCACAAATTAACACCAATTTCACCCATTAATGTATGTATTATGTGCAAGTAAGTAAGTATATCTTTAAATTTGCACAAATACCCAGAAGATTACACTAGTAGATCCACAACAAACAGAAGCAATATAATGTTGCAGACACAAAAAGAGGCAGAACAGCCAATTGAATTTAGAGAGAGAAAATGAAGCAAAACCAAAAAAAAAAAAAAAAAAAACAGAAGTTTTTAGAGAGATAAGATAGGAGAGAGAAAACAGAGAGATAGAGAGAGAAAAACAGAGCTACTGGAAAAAAAGCTTGAAGAAGGGGGTATAAGAGAGAAGAAGAAGGGCCCCTAACATGGAAATTACTAAAATAGAAGGAAAGTTCTTTGAAGCACTGATTCTCTTCTAGCGTATTAGTGGGGTAATTAAGAAATTAAATATGGTTTATCCTTAAAAAGTAAAATATTTAATAAACTTTACAAACTTATTCTTACCAGAAACAAATTCCCAAAAAAAAAAAAAAAAAGAGATTTTTTTTTTTTATGTAACCATTGAAGAGGAGAAGGAAGGAAGGTTTTGGATTTCTGTAAATGCTGAAGAAAGAGGAGAGAGAAAAGAAGAGATAACAATAAATATTGCTGTAGTATTTATACTATAGGTAACAAACAATTTTATATTCTTTGTATTTGAATGGATGGTATGGTAAAGTACAAAATAAGCTAGGTAATGTAAGAGGGGAATTTGTGAATTTCTGGATTTCCTTTGTAGTTTCATAAATTAATGAAGTTTTTACTTTACCTTGGTTTTTGATAGGGATGAGTGATTTATTGAAAATACATTTGCTCAAATGGGTGATGCTGGCAAAAGTAGTTGGTGTGAGGAAAATCTTAACCCTCCTCGTTGCCTATTTTGTATTATCTAAGCACTCGTAAATTTCTCGTTTACACTGTTATTGTGTTTGTATATTTGATTTAAAATTTTAATTACTTGTACCATTTTTACCTCGATAGGGCGGTAAGGATGATCAGATGAGTGTTTCATAAGTTAATGGTCGAATGGGTGATGACGTGATGTTAGCAAAAGTAGTTGGTGATATAAGGAAAAAATTAATTCATCCCATTATTTATTTTGTATTATCTGATTATTAGTACATTTCTTATTAATAAATAAAAGTGATCTGTTATTTAGAGTACCGATACACTATTGCTAATAGCTATAATTCGTTTTAATTTTTTTTTACTGTTAGCACTCTTTTTAATTTCTTGGTAGGGATGAGCAATTTGTAAGTTATTTTGTCAAATGGGTGATGTTAGCAAATAAAGGCAATGGTTGAAAGAAGGTTAAATAATGAAACTCATCTTGACATTTATTTTGTACTAATTGGCCACTCATACAGTTCTCATTTATATACAGATTATAGTGTTACAATTTAGAGCCTGTTTTAATAGACTGAAATCAGCTGAACTGAAGTGAAATGAATATTTTATAAGAGAAGGAAATTAGGAGCTGAACTGAACTGAAAATAAATATATGAGAACAGGCCCTTACTGTACTACTTTAATCTCATTTAAATTGTTACTCGTAATACTTGTACATTTTAGAAACTTGTTCATAAACTTAACAAATGATTTCAATAGATATGAAGTATTGGAATAGTGCTTTATTTACCTATATATATACTGTATATATACAGTATATAATTTAATACTCCTACCTACTTTAATGTCTAAACCTAGTACTTTGTATAATCATATTTGTGAATAATACAAAAAAGTCGCAGTAAAAAATTAATTATCGAAAAATGATCAAGGTAGAAGATAGTGAAAGGACAAAAAGAAGGTAGATTATAGAGGATTTGGAAGACAGCAGAGACAATACTGATACAACTGGGCCTTGAAATTGTCCAAATTTTGGGGTGTCTTTTTCACATGCATGCATGTGTACACAGACTGTATACACTTTCATACGTACCTCTCTACATCATATACGCTTGGGGAAATTGCAAAGGATATACATATGCGGAGGATAAATATATATTTTTTAAAAAAAAATTATTAATTCTTTTGTGTTTTAATAAGTGTTATATTTGTTTTTTTTTCCTTCTTTACTATTTATATAATGGTTTTGACTTGATTAATTTTTCACGAAGTAGTATATTAGGAAAAAAAAAATTGTTATTATATAACACGTTGTTGGATTCATTATAATGTATACTTTCATAGTACTCCCTCCGTCCCTTATTGTGTGCACCGCTAAACAAAAAAAGTGGGTCCATGGAGCAAACAAAAGGGGACTGAAAAAGTATTAATTTTTTTATAATTTACAAACAAATAATTAGATAAACTAATAGTCAAACTTTTGTCTCGACATTCGTGTTTGGTTAAAATTTAATACTTGTTAAAACACGGAGGAAGTGCAGAGTAACCTAGGTCATATTCTCTTTACCAGAATTGAACCATTCTGTGAAAATAATTTAGTTAAACTAGAATTATTATATTGAAATTTAATTATTTTCCGTTAAACTCTAATTAATTTTGTTAATTACAAAATATTTGCTTTTACTCGTGATCTGCAATCGTTGTATTTATCTTGTTATATGCTTTGTACCTTACAATATTCAACCCGATACTAATTTCGAATTGGATATTTGATTCGAAAATATTGATATCGGATACATATATATTCGGATATCAATTTTAATTTTCAAATATCTAATATTCGAAATATTTTTACTATCTGATAACGGATATCGCATCCAACTATCAAGATTTCAAGTATCAGGCAACTAATGGATATCGGATCCTATCCAAAAATTTGGGCATTATTTTGCATTTTCTTAAAAAAAAAAGTCAAAATTAGACATTATAAGATTATATTGTCCAATATTTTAGAAATTGGATAACCGATAATCCATAAAACTTTTCGAGTCGGATTCAAATATCAATGAACATTCGATTCCTTGTCACCCTAGCTAGCTAATATTGGAAAATTGGATATATATTGGATAAATTAAGGATAATAATGGTTATACAGAGTATACTATTGGAAAGGAATATTACAGATTTATAGGTGACTAGGTCATGTTCATTTTGCCTATCTCAAACTATTCCGCGAAATCATTTTTGTTGATGAATAGAAATTATATCATTGAATTTAAATTGTTTTTGTTAACTTAAATTATTTTTATTGATCAGAAACATTATTTGCTTTTACTTATGTTGTTATATATATTATATCTAACTTATTATTTGAAGCTACATACCACTCCATAATTTTTACTAATTTAAATTACAGTAATTTTTATTGTATTTAACTTATATTTGGTAAAGAGGACAATAGGAGAGAACTAAATACACATGTTTCATTTACAATACTCCAATTTTAGTAGAATAAAAAATTAAACATTTATGTATTCCAAAGTTTAACAAAAAGTGAAATATCTACTTTAATAAACCGAAATCTTGTCCGGGTCAATCCAACTTGATTTAGCAGGATAAATCATTTGAAAGTGGAGCAAAGTTAATTAGGCAGCCAATCCCCATGTCAAAGTATTTTCATATATAGTTTCTGATACACATTTAACCAAATATAAATTTTAAAATAATTATATCTATATTCTTGTTTAGAAAAGTTTCTACTTTCAAAATGCATGCATATTAATTAAAACCAATCAAATAGAATTTCGTATGATCAATATTTTTATAATATAAAGGCAAAAAAAAATTGTGAAAGTGTAGCACTATAATCTAGACAATTCATTAAATTCAAAAAGAGAAAATAGGAATAGAAGAGGAATTCTATAATGCCATATTAGCAAGCTAACTACTTTAGGTTTTTTTAAAAGTTTCTCTTTAATTGAATTTTTAAACAACTTTAATTTTTGTTTGTGAAGGGGTACTTTTTCTTTCTTTAATTAAACTAAACACTACTTTAGAAAACCACATCAAAGTGTATCCAACTTTAATTTATCTAAATATATTGTTTAAGATTGTTTAAACACTTGGATAAACCTATAAACAAGCTTGATGACTTGCCAACCTCTTTAACTGATTGCTTGTTCACAAACGTCATCATGATTCATAGCACAATCTCTTGCGATTATTACCTCGTGGGAATATATTTGTCTAGTGTCAACTTTTTGACTTTCAACATTAGGTGAGTTTGCCAATGTGTAGAACACGGATTGTGTTTTTTTTTTTTTTTATAACTCTGGAATAAACTTAAGCAGTGTTCAATTCATCTATCCTACACTTGGACTACTTGAGTACTTTTACCTCGGGTATATAAGAGGGATATCATACCTTTATGTTTTGTAGGTAAATAAAAAATTATTTTCTGTATAGTCGTATCAGAATCTCTTACTGATCAACCCGGCTCGAGTTAGGGTTTGTTTGGTTTACGTTATTTTAACTTATATGAACTTATCTAATCTGATTTGATTTGGTCTGGTCTGGTATGATCTAATCTGGTTAAATCTAATATGATCTGAATGTTAGATTTGATCAAACTTTGACCTTAAATATACAATATTCTATATGCAAAATATACAACGTATATCAAGTGAGGACTTGTTAGATTTGTAATAATTTTATTAATATGTGATTTTCACAATTTTTTTCATTACCAAATTAAAGATATTTAGTGATAAAAAACTGCAAATAAAACGATGATATGATATGAACTTATTTTTTCTGATATGATCTGATCTAATTTTTTTTTTCCAAAATAAGTAAATTTTTTTTTATTTTTTTTGAGAAAAAAATAAGTAAAAATAAAGTGAACTAAACAAGATTTTAAAAGGCAAAGGGTTAGTGTGGCTAAGGGTTTTTTTTTTCTTTTCAATAATTTTTTTTTTGTTGTTGAACAATTATAATAATACAGACAAGTTATACTTCAATTTTGTAAAAAAAATATTCACTAACATTAAGGATTATTTACAATGGCCTAAAACTAAGGCCTTTGTTTGTTGAGAGAATCTTGACCAAAAATGATTTATTTGACCAAATTATAGAGTTGACTTCATATAATTTGATGCTTTGGTCGTTAATTTGGTTTTAAAAAAAAGCTGATCTAGTTGTGCTTAACCTTTCAAACTTGTCTTAAATCTTATGTTCGTATTAGTATAGGTTATAACTTGTTTTATTATTATTATTATTATTATTTTTTTTATTTTTTTATTTTTTTTTTTTTTTTGGGGGGGGGGGGGGGTGGTGGGGAGGGGTTAAGGTTTGAAAGAGAACTTGTTTTATTACTTAATTATATGTGATTTCACATCTTCATATAACTAAATAAGTATATATGTTAAAGTTTACCAAATACTTTTGTCTAAATAATCACCAAGTCAAAGCATCTAACATGTACAATAATCTACTTAAAACTCAGCAAATTCTAGCTTATAATGGGCAACAGGTTTCAAGCCAAACTGAAACTTTAACTCAACAAACATACCAGAAACAAAATAATATTGACCCAACTCAAACCACCATACAAAATTGAATAACATGCTATGTCCGAATCAAATGACATGTTAGCTTCATTTATTTATAGATAGATAGAAGAGTAGAAAATTAAGAAAATGCAAAGTACAAATTGTAAACCTACTTCTAATAAATGTAAATAATATTATGGTGTAAAACAAAGTATCTTATAATAGTATAGTGTTGTATACCAAACAATCACATACACTAGCCGTCTCCCCGAGCAATGAGGATCTGGTTAACAAAGTGGACCCACCAACAACCCATATGATAGAGATTTGGGTTAGCCAAGGAAAGC